CCCCCCCCCCCCAAAAAAAAACCCCAAAAAAACCCCCAACAACAACAACGCAAAAATACTGGGAGAGCGCAGGAAATGATGTTCTTCAAAAATATGTCTGTGACATTCGTGCGTGTCAGTGATTAGCACAAAGACATGGATAGGCCTATATATATATGATTCTTTTCTCGCCTTCTCAGAATCATGTACTTAATGACTTGCTGCAATCCATCTGGTAAACATTACAATGTCTTTTTCGAAGAATAGCATACTCCATGTATTGATATATAGCTTGTTCACTTTCGTCTGACCGCGGTTAAACAGGATAAAAACATATCGCTCTGTTGAATCTTCTCATGTATTTGCATGCGATTCAAAAAGTTGGCGTCGGCGGCCTAGTGGAGGCTCTCGGACTCGCAACCGTAAGTTCGTGGGTTCGAATCCCGTCAGGGGCCCGACGTTGTGTCCTTGGGGAAAGGCACTTTACACGAATTTTCCTCACTTCACCCAGGTGGGAAGGGTACCCGGCTATAGACAGCAAAAGATCTTAATCAGTTTGTTAGTGTTTGAGCACTTAATCAGCTGCTTACACTGTATGCTTCCCGTGAAGCGGAGAATTTTTCGGAGTGTTCTATGGTCTGCTGGGGTAATAATATAGTGTAACGCGCATAGAGAGCTTGCTGTTGAGCGGGGATAAGCGCTATACAACGCTATTTATTATTATTATTATTATTATTATTATTATTATTATTATGACCACCAGCATCTAAAAGCCCTAATAGAAGGTCATTGCAAGCTAAGGTTCCGACCCATTTACTTTGATGTAAGATAGGCCGTAAGCATGGCTAAGAAATAATAAGAGATTTACAGCATACACTTAAAACATCAAAAAGTTTTACCCATTTTGATAAACACCACACTTTAACGCCCGCCAATGAAATTCGATCCAAAAGACAGGTGAGTACGCTACCTTTCGGGACTCAAGGGGAGATATCTAATCCAACGGTCAGGAGAGAGAGAGAGAGGGAGAGGGAGAGGGATAGGGAGAGG